CCCTGAATGGTGACAGTTCATGGGGAGCGCGGGATGTCATGCCTGCTTCATGCCCCCCCCATGCTTGGGTCGCTGTTGCCTCCACTTTGAGGATGCAGGCGGCGGCAGCAGCAGCCTCCGCTGCGCGGCAGACGGAAGGAAGCACGCGCCTCAGGACACCGTGCGGCGATCCGCTCGCTTTTTCTGCAACTTCTTCCAGCCCGAACGATGCTGCCCCTGAAAACGGCTCCTTTTAAAAACGGCTACAATCAAAAAACAACCATTAATAATTCATTAGAGGCGCGCGGGTTCAGCGATTAATATCCAAATAGATTTAGATAAATCCTAATGAATGGAGCAGAAATGGCACCAGGATGCTCTGCTGATCTCTCCTTCACCTCCTTATCAATAATTGCTCTGAGTTAACTAAGGTAAAGGTAAAAAAAACACACACAAATAAATAATAAATATTCCAGTATTATGAGAAAAGGATAATTTTGGGGAAAACGAATAAATAAATATTTTAGAGGAATTCTTAAAACACATTCTGTCATTGTTTAAGGAAATTGAAGGAAGATTTTTGGTCATCCTGCCTCGTTTTTACCATGAGCTATTTTTATAGATGAGAAAATGTGAATTATACTGAAAAATATTCTCATTCTGGATGGTTTGGATTTGCTGAATGCAGGATCTGAACATAGAACCTGATAATAAAATCAGTTTCTATTATTCTCTGCATCAGAGATCAACATGAGTTTCATCCTTTGCTTCTGCTTCATAGGCAGCCAATACCAAATATAAATGGGTCTTTTCTGTGATGTCTGACAGACATTTCATTTATATAAATGGATAACGCTAATTAGTATCTATTCTAGTCATAAATATCTATCTAGTAGTAAATAACAGTATTAGTATCTGAAGCATCTCCCTATGGATGGCAGGTTTGGCCATCAAGGGCAGAAATCATATCTGAAATATAGAAACACACAAATCCAGCTTCTCTGAGCCAATAGAGATTTACAGTTTCACTTTTATTCTCTTCTGCCATTTCCATTTTATTTCATTTTTCATTAATAAAGAGTTTGTTTTAAAAAGAAGGGAAAAAAATGCTGCAAGTGATGAATAAATCCAGATTTTTTTTTTTTACATCCAAGGATGTGTTCCCAACCTTAATTTGATCTTTTTTTTTATTAACAGACTCCAGTGAGGCACATGCTGTAGCTTGATGAGTTAAAACATGAAAAAATAATAAAAGAAAATGATGGGGGGTCTTAGTTTTGATGCATTTAATGAAATGCAAAAAAAAAAAAAAAAAAAAACTGCAAATGATCAAAGCTGATGAAGGAAAAACCGTTTTCCATGTAATGCAAAGTGATCAGTGAGGATCTGCAGCTATATGTTTTTGGCATGCAGAAAATGAATGCATTGCTCTAGAAATGCAATAGTAGAGCAGATATTACATCACGCCAGTCCTTTCTGATTGCGATATTCTACACGTTGATGCTGTGATGAGGTTAATAAAATGTTTCTGTGCAGGAGGTTAGCTTCTGAACGCATACGCACACAGACGGTGTTTTTCTGGGTCTTCATCCATACAGGCACCAGCACACAGACATATGCTCCCTGAATAGGGAGATGATTTAGATGTATGGAAGCTGAAGTGGTAGATGATTGTAGCGTTACGTTCATGTCTCCTGTAGTGCTGGCAGACTGTGTGTGTCATATCTGGGGCTTGTCGCTCTCTGCTGTAGTAAAGAACATGCTTCCTGGATTTGTGCGGCCCTGCAGGGCTTGCTCTGCTGCACAGTGATTAAGGAGATATTTTCCTGAGGCACATCTTCACAATTAGAGGACATGGAACTGAAATGTCACTTCAGCATTTATGGAACATACCACAGATAAGACATTTCTGTCAGTAAGCCAGGTAACCACAGGGTCTGTCAGTCATATTTTCAGGATGTTGCATCCAAAGGTTTTTTTTCCCTGCAAACTTTGGCTTGCACCTCAGCAGGAATACTAAATGGTCAGCGGTTGTTGATGTGCTAATCATCACTTTCAAATGTTTCTAACTATTTAATCCCTTTGTTTTGTTTAGGGGGTAGTGCATTTAGCATTTTGAAAGTGAGCTTAGATGCTTGGCTTAGAGTCAAATCATTATTTCAGTGGAACTTCAGAGGAATTTAGCCTGTTGGGATACTGGCATGTTGCCACAGCTGTCTGCGCGTCCCATTGTCCTGCTTAAAAAAGCAAGAACACAAAACTCCTCTTAAAGCAACATCTTTACTTGACTCTAATAATTCATATTTTTCCAAAATTTGAGTGATATCACATGGCCTTGGGATAGTGGGGAGCTGTGTGCAACAGCAGGGGAGTTCTTTTTTGTTATCCATCCTTGCATTATTTATGAATTTTCATTCCAGGAATGCAGTAGCCGCTGGCACTGTAATGCTTCCCCTCTAACATTGGAGTCGTTCACACGCTTTAGTTTCTGACCAGCAAGTTCCCAGCAAACTGAAAATATTCTTTACAAATCTTTTTTTTTGGGGGGGGGTTGAATTCATCAAAGAGTAGGATCCTTATTCTGCAGTCAGACTTTTAGCTGACAGCCAGTATGATGCGTCTTTAGCCACTTCTCCCACTGACTGATGAAAAACGGTAATTGTTGCAAAATGATGAAAAGTGTTTGAGCGGTTGCTGCCCTGCTGATCATTTCAGAGTAAATGACCTCAGAGAATCGAAGGACTAGCAAACACTATGGAACCACGCTATAACCACACACAGTGACCTGCCTGCTGCAATGCTGCTGCACGTCCTGCAGGGCTGATTGGAGTTTCTGTTACACATCCACGTGCTCGACCTCTGAGTGAAGCAAACTGTCAGCACTGTGACTTTAAAATGGAATGTTGTCAAATTACCCTGCTAAAATTTCCCTGCGGTTAGTGAACGTATGCAGCGGGAATATGAGATATAGGGATGCATTGGCTTCAAATTTAAACTCAATATTTAAAGTATTTATAGGGATTACAGTAAAAGTAGCAGTGAAAACTTCCTTCGCTTCTCTCACTGTCCTCGTCACACAGTCCGTCGTCACTAATATAAAATGAAAAACGTGTAAGAAAGGAAAGTACTGTATGTGTTTTGATAAGTTTAAATTGCATTTATTTTATTTTTTTTTTTTTGCTTGCCTTTGCCTCAGTTTGAGTCCCTCTTTAAAACATCTTAACTCTCCTCTATCACTTTAAGAGAAATTTAATCGGTAATGTTTTTGGTTTAATATTATCAGTCGCCACCTTTTATTAAAAGCAAATAATGGAATTGGGTAGAAGTCAAAGAAATGTATTTTAGAGAAAAAAACTTGATTTTAATATCTTCTCTTGTTGAGCAGATATGTACGGAGCCCCTCTGATGACATGGTCAAAAATGTTTTTTAATTGTGGCCACGAAGTAGTATTTCGTGGCCACGCAATAAGTATAACGAAATACTTATTAATAATATTAATATCATTCCTGGACAACTGGGTAAGCAAATCAAGCGCACCTTAGAGAAGGCGCGCTCGATTTGCTTACCCAGTCGGTCTCCGCCTGTCACGTGACGTTTGTTGCTAAGACGCCATTTTAGGTGGAAAAGGCGTAGTGTAAACAACCGCAGCATAGCTAAACGAAGGACTAAAGGCCCGTTTCCATAGCAGCCTGTCCAAGATAAGTCATTACAGTTAACATAAGCCTGAAAACAGGGGCGGATTTATTGATATTATTAAGTATTTCATGCGCACGATAAAAATACTACTTCGCCACAATTAAACATTTTTTTTGGCCATGTCATCAGAGGGGCTCCGTAGATATGTGTTTAGTGTTAAGTAACATATTTCATTTTGGCAAAAAAATAAAAGTATTGTTGGTAAAGATGTTTCTCTTTGATGCCATTTTTCATTGGATAGATTTTGGTATTTATTTATTTTGGATTTTTCCTTTATAATCGGACACATTTAAAGCCCATCCACTGCCACCTTTATATGACATCATTTTTATCCAAGTCCTGAAATCTAATCATGACAGGATGATATTATGAACAGATAGAAAATAAAAACTCTGGATGCAGCCATGTTAATGAAAACACTTTAAATAAATACTGCAGACAGATCTTTTTACAGACATATTAAACTCATATTTATTTTACTAAATTGGTATGTAGGAGTTATGTGTGAAGATTATTAGCAGGTTTTTTTCATTTATTTATTTCTTCTTGTTTTTTGGAACCTTGGTTCTAATAATGTCGTTATTTGCTGTTAAATTGAATTTCCTTTAGAAATTAATGTGCAAAATGAGTGAAGATGATCCTTTTACATTTAGCCTTTTAGAAGTTCTTTATTTTCGTTGTTTCTGCTGCCTTTTCACTCTCTGTACCAAAATAAAACATAATTCAACCTATAAAGCAACATTAGTGGTGTCTAACAACAGAAAAACTTTCAACAACAATAGTCACACAGGTGCGCAGGCTGATACACACCTGACGACCAAGCCTGAGGCAGTTTACTAGAAAGTACGGCGGCTTTGCCTCAGATGCTCTCTGCTTTGGACTCTGTTTGCTTGGCTGTGGTCAAAAGTCAGGAACTCTACAACAAAACTTTAAAAACCCGTACAGGTTATGAAAGAGTTTAGATTATGGAAAGAGAGCCGCAGCTTCTGTCTTTCTATTCCAGAAGCAGATGAATTAAATTTATAAGGAGCTTAATTTAAAACTCTTTACAGTGTTTATAACTTTAAAACTATCAGTTGGTCTTATGGTGATTTAATGAAACCTGTTGGACAGTTTAGAAAA